GAAGAAAACTCATGATATTGTTGCTTATTGTTTTTATAATTTTGTAGGACGAACTTTTCCATCAGAATACCGTGCTGTGTAATTTATAGGTCTTTTTATCCATCCATTCTTTTGTTTATGTCATTTGGAGGTAAGGATCCACCATTTCACATGATTAAGTTATATCTAAGAATAAGGGTTCATTTATTTTGCCTTGACTTTTTGATAAACTGATCTTGCTTGTTGAAGTTCGATGTGGTGTGAGCCCCACAACTAATATACATTTAAAAAAAAAATGGGGATCCCTTCCCTTAAAGGCCTCCTCTCTCTCTCTCTCTCTCTCTCTCTCTCTCTCTCTCTCTCTCTCTCTATATATATATATATATATATATATATATCAATGTATTAAAAGGCGAAGGCATAGGTGAGGCTTCCCATGGATAGCCCCGCCTAGGCGTGAGGCTTCGCCTCACGGTACCTAAAATTTTGATATATATTATATATATAATTACATAAATAAAATATAATACTTTGTAAAATAAATATAATTATAACTAAATCAAATATAATATCATCTTCATTACTAAGTCTAGTTGTACTTAGGAACTGCGTCATAAGGTCTTAAAATGTTATAATTAATTTTTCAGGTAGACCTTTATTAAGGGCTCTCTCTCTCTCTCTCTCTCTTTCTCTCTCTCTCACCCAATAGCATGCTGCAAATGCAATTCAAGTGTGGCCAGCTTTTATTAACTTTTGTCGTTGTACAAACTGTAGTTGCATGCAGAAGCTGGGAAAGGTCAATTTGAGATGGCACTTCGGCACACTGCTTGTATGCATGCTGCTGACAACCTGATTTATACTCGTGAAGTTATTAGAGCCATTGCAAGGAAACATGGATTGTTGGCAACTTTCATGCCAAAGTAGGTTCTCGAATTTTCCCTACAGATGCAGATGTGACCTACTTACTTCAGTGAAAAAAAGCAAGAATGTTGATTAGTTTAATTTGGGGACTTAATGTTCAACTAGGCTGACTGTTTCTTATTATTTTTCTTCTTTGATGTCCCTAACTAAATGTACTCTGCGTAACTTTGTGGTCTCTTGGGCAGGTATGCTCTTGATGACATTGGCTCTGGGGCGCATGTACATCTTAGTTTGTGGCAGAATGGCACAAATGTGTTTACGGCATCTGGTGGTTCCTCTCAGCATGGAATGTCAAAGATCGGGGAAGAATTCATGGCAGGGGTTTTACACCATCTTCCTGCAATTTTGGCATTTATAGCACCGATTCCAAATAGGTGATACCAAACTCCCCCAATTGAATTATTGCATTAATTGTTGTTTTTTGTGTCTAGTAATTTATGAGTCTGTGGTTCCATGTTTGGTATCAAAATAATATCTCATGGGTGCATTTCACAATGTTGTGAAGCATCTAAAGTTTGATGCTTTCAATTTTGAGCTTTTGAGTAACATGTGTAAAGCTTATGAGCTAAATTTGTCTTAGATGTACAATTTTGTAGGAGATACGATATCATAGCTTTGAATGCATTTTCATACCTTTTTATTCTACCTTAAAATTGCTTTGATCGAAATATCGGCTCTTATTTTCAACCATTATTTGGTGTAGTTATGACCGAATTCAACCTAATACATGGAGTGGAGCATACAAGTGTTGGGGAAAAGAAAACAGAGAAGCTCCGTTAAGAACTGCATGCCCACCTGGAATACAAGCTGGTTTGGTGAGCAACTTTGAGATTAAATCATTTGATGGATGTGCAAATCCACACTTAGGCTTGGCTGCAATACTTGCTGGTGGTATTGATGGTCTTAGGAATCATCTTCGTCTCCCGGAACCTGTTGGTAAGATAACATGTTATTGTTGATAAAATGTGTATTGAGTTGACCTTCTATTCTCCCTAATTTTATTACGAGGATAGGTGGCTTTTAGATATGATATTCATTTTCCTTATAAAAGTGATTGGATTGATAATTTGAGATGAGTCGCTTCTCATATAGTTTCAGCTTTTTCATACTAAATTTGTTACTTTCCCATTCACTGAAACGATTATGTGCCTTATTGAGTGCAAAGAGTGAAGAAAAAGCATTTAATTATTTCTATCTGGTTCTAAGATTGTTTCCGCCGCATTGATTTATTTTCCTTACCTGAATTTGTCATGAGTTTACCGCATACTCTGATATATATTTGAAGACTTTCGAGAGTTTAAGCGGCTCTCTTTTCTTTCAAGAAGATTATATACTGTAGTCTGACATATTAATAATATATCCTCAATTCGTTGAACAGATACAAATCCTTCTGGCCTTGGTGCAGAAGTAGAAAGGTTGCCGAAATCACTTTCTGAATCTTTAGAAGCTCTCAAGGAAGACAATTTGTTCGCAGATTTACTTGGGGAAAACCTATTGGTTGCGATAAAAGGGGTCCGCAAGGTACGTTTTGAATATGATTTTGTAATGGTGTTCTAGTAAATTATTTCAACCATTGCAAAACATTACTGAAAATTTAGAGCGAATAACGATCGCAATTTTCCATTTGCAGGCGGAGATTGACTACTACTCGAAGAACAAAGATGCATACAAGCAACTTATATACCGCTATTGAGTTAATTAGCTTATTGTCTTGTGACTATTCCTGGTTTAGTCAAGCTCTGATCCTGTACTTTCTTAAGCTCCTCTACCGAACGCCTCCTGTACTTTCTTAAGCTCCTCTACCGGACGCAAACCAGTTTGGAAATAATGTAAGCACTAAGCATACGTGAGGCTATAAAAGCTTATACTATATTTTCAACCGAACGTAAATATGTATGGATTAATGTAGAATATTTTTATGTGGTCATCGACAAACTTGTCAAACAAACTTGTCAACGCTGGGGAAATTTGTGCTCTCGTGGTTGAAAATCCCTTCTATAGTGAGATTTTCCTAGTGATGCTATAAAAACAAACTATATTTTCGATATCACATTTTTGTAATGTTTGAGAGTTTACATTGGTGTACTATCTGACCTGGAAAGCGACGTGTACGTGCCACGTCAATGAATAAATTTATCTAATTGAATATTGGTTGTATGCAGTGATGGATCTAGGAAAAAATTATTTGGGGGGGTCACATAAAAATTCATAAACATATCTTAGACATAATACCTTAAAAATTAAACCCTAATTCCATCATTTATAATGTATAGAATAATAACAATACAAGTTACAATTGTCCACGACACTTGAAAACGCTGCATTATAGCTTCATTATCAACAAAAGAAAAAACATCGTTCCTAATTTAAACCACCATGCTATACTCAATCATTGATCTCTTATTCGGTTTTGCGATGGACATTTCAAAATACATAGTGGAAAAGGTTCTTGCCACTAAAGCAATGTAATAAAAAATACGCCTTATTATATACTCTATTCTTCCGTGCCTCCACCATTTACCATTTTTTTACAAGACTACCAATTCCTTTCAATAACAACAACAACAACAACAAAAAAAAAAAACATTATCCCACTAAATGGGGTCGGCTATATAAATCCTAGAATGCTATTACACTTGGTTTTGTGTCATGTTTTCCGTTAGATCCAAGTAATCTAAGTCTTTTCTAGAGTCTCTGTCCAAGTCTTCCTAGGTCTTTCTCTACCCCTTTAGCCTTGAACCTCTGTCTTGTAATCGCATCTTCTAACCGGAGCATCTATAGGTCTTCTCTTCATATGTCCAAACCACCTTAACTGATTTTCTCTCATCTTACCTTCAATTTCGGTTACTCCTAATTCACCTTGGATATCCTCATTCCTATTATTGTCCTTTCTTGTGTGTCCACACATCTAATGAAGCATTATCATCTCTGCTACACTCATTATGTTTACGTGTTGATACTTCACTGCGCAACATTCCATACCATAAAGCATCGATGGCCTTATTACCGTGTTATAAAAAATTTCCTTAAGTTTTAGTGGCATACGCCTGTCGGACAACACACCTGATGCACTCTTCCACTTCATCCATCCGGTTTGTATTCTATGATTGAGGTCTCTATCCAATTCTCCGTTCTTTTGCAAGATAGATCCAAGATAGTGAAAGCGTTCACTCTTTGGTATTTCTTGATCTCCAATCCTCACCCCTAACTCATTTGAACCTCCGTTTTCACTGAACTTGCATTCCATATACTATGTCTTTGACCTACTTAGGTTAAGACCTTTAGATTCCAATATTTCCGGCCAAAGGTTAAGCTTCGCATTTACTCCCTTTTGAGTTTCATCTATTAACATTATATCGTATGCAAATAGCATACATCAGGAATATCATCTTGGATATGTCCCGTTAACTCATCCACTGTCAATTTCGTTCAATTGAAAAAAAATTCACTACTCGAACGCATACTAAGAATATAATGCCCAAGTTGATCTTGAAATACCAAGAGTTGACAAGTAGAAAATTTATTTGGATAAATTGAGGAAAACGAATTAGTTTTTGTTCATCAAAACCTGAGAATGAAGCATCTAGACTAAAAATTTTGGCCAGGTAAATTTTAAAAGAATAAATTCATCTTTGAGGCATTTTATCAAGTAGTTGGAGGACATGTATGAAGGGCAACTTTAACCTTCAAAAGAGTAGTACCCAAGTCATCCATAAATATTCACCGCAAGGTTAGCTGACCCTCCTTAGCCCTTAATGGGTCTACCCTTGATTGTATATATAACTTACTGAACACATAAAATAATACACCAATGTAATTTAAAACCATAGTTGACACACCCTATCCCGAAGGAGGGCATGCTGGCCGTCACGTGAGAGTGACGTAACCATTTACACAGTTCGGAAGCTTTAAAGAATACAATTACTAAGATGAAACACCCGAGGGTGAGTCCTACTTTTATGAATTCTGTCAGAACATCGTTGGATTCCTCGTGGCCACCAAAGCTCTGTTATCTTATACCTGGAGGGGCGCAAAACAAAATTGAGTGGGTCAGTAAAACAATGCTTATAAGAAAACCTTTATCTTTGAATATACTAACCCCTCGCCGTAAAACAAGTATAGTTTCCTCAAAACATACTACGTAAGTATGAAATCCAATATATATCAACCATATAACCAGAATTATGCCAAGTCAATGATGTATCATATGCCACAATAATAATCAAGTGATAATCAATACAACTAAGTGCTCATCCATCTAAGCTGACACACAAGTTCGGACAGATGGTTTCTGACACGAACAGGACTGGGTGTAATCAATATGCTCTAGTACTACGATCATGTGAAAACTGGTGCAAAGCACATCACATACAAGTCGGATCGCCTAATGCAATCTACCCGACAAGACTGGCACCTAAACTTGGATCCAAGGTGAGCGAACGGTGCGGATGAGAACATACACGTGAAGGACTGGCCCTGGTCCTGGGGCGAGTACTAACACCGGTTGCAGCAAGATAAGCATGTACACAAGTATGTATAAATGCCATGACAGTAATATCACAACCATATAGCAGCATTTATCACAATTTATATCACAATAATGATACTAGGCAATATAGGCGTAAAAATGAAGTAAATACGCATTTATGGAAACTATAAATATATATAGGTATAAACAACTGCCCACTCACAAGTACGTCGTTGGGTCATAGCCCCCGAGCCTAGCTTGGCCTCGAAAATCCTCGGAATAAGTTTGCCTATATGTGAAATAACTAAATAACATTAATTAAAGCACATAACGGAAACCTAAATAAAATGCTCATAATTTGCTCAAACCTAGGGTATAAATATATGAAATCGATCTACTCGACGACACGAACGCGTACGTACCAACCACGCGCCGGTCGGAGGCCGGACGCCCCCCCACGTGCCGCCCAAAGTGGTGGTCCACGCGCGTCTTCTTCCTCGGCTCGCCGGACTGGTTCGCCGGTTTTTGGGCAGTTTTTCAAATTGCCATAACTTTGTCATTTCTCAACGAAATCAAGTGATTCAAAAACGAAAGTTGTAGCCCTTGAAGAGAGAAAGAGAATGGTACCTCAAAAAACACCTAGCTCACCGTGGTTTGGCGGGAAACTTCCTCGAAAGTCTCGGAGGTCGCCGGAAGCTGGGTATTTTTCAAAACGTCATAACCTCTTCATTTCTTCACCATTTTCAACGTACTTTATATCAAAATGAAGATATTGACGAGACGAACACATTCATACCTACCTTGACCCCTAACTCGCCGGGGATTCACTGGAAAAAGCCTCGAAAGCTCCGGTCAAACTTTGAACTTGTCGATCTCCGTGTTCTTAAGTCCAAAAACTTCCAACGAACTACTCCGAGCCTCCTAAGGACCTCAAGAAGCTTCCTATAAGCTTGAAAAGTCCTAAAAATCAACAAATAAAAAGTTGATGAATAGTACCCAAATCGGTGCCCGTGATTTCGACGTGAAAACGTTAGAGATCTTACCTGAAATAGGTATAGTTGGACTCGTATCGTCGAGACGAAGACGATGGTGGTTTTATTTTCTTCGATCTGTGAAATTTTTGAGAGTCTTTTTGTTTTGCCGTGAGTGTAGAAAGAGAGAGAGAGTGAGAGAGAGCTTGACGGGAGAGAGAGAATGAGGATGAGTTTGAGGGAGCAGGACTAAGGGAAAGAGGGAGTATGATTGAGGGAATCCCGGGAGAACAATGAAAAAGGGGGAGAAATGTGTAACCCGTGTATGCACAGTACAAAGGTTACAATAATTCAAACACTAACATACAAACCGTCCAACTTTAATAAAGATTTAGGGTACTAAACAAACCCTAAAGTTCTAAGTCTTTAAAACGTTTAAGGATAATACATTAACCTTACACTTACTGATAGGAGCATATTTATGCGACTTAGTTGGCTTGTTCTTGTGCATTTATGTCGTGTTTCCTTAGTTATTTTATGTTTAAAGTCATTTTCGTGTGTTTTCAGACTCTAAGTACAAAAGTATGCAAGAAATGCATTTTGGAGGCTTTGGAGCATGTTTCGGGCTTGGAATGGATGCAAATGATGGCCAAGTGGATGGACGAATTGAGAACTAAGAGGCCAAATGTGAAGAATTAGGTCCAAAAGATAAAGAAAACAGCCCAAAAATCTGTCACCAAACTTGCATTCCTTGCCTGCAAACCACATAGAATCCTTGGATTCCATGCCGCTTGACACTCTTGTCCCTACATAATTTCTAATTTCATGCTATCATTTAATTATTCTCAATTGTTGATACCTCTGTTCCCTTCACCATTAGATTTTAGAAACATTTACATCCTTACATGCACCAATTGGATGCTCCATCATTCACATTGGAATCCCATGCCTTGTTCCACATGGCTGCACCTTTGACCCATTTATTGACAATTTTCACCTCCCTTTCCATCTCTATGCAATGTAACAATCATTATGCCCCTAGCTACAAGCCACTCCATTTTAGCCTTCACACTTTGCATCATCATTCATNCTGCAATCTAAGTGAATTCTAAGTTTCAATTTCATTACTTTACTTGCTATTGCTTTAAGAACGATTGTTATCCTTATCCTTCATTTGTTAGCCATCACCCCAAGCCCCGTTACAACCCTTAACTTCATCTTGAGTGTCATGCGTTTCAATATGTGGAGTTTGAATTTGGTATGAGCATATGGTGTCACTGGTTCTCGCATCTAAGTAGTAGCATTCCATTCATGAGATCATATCTAAACATGCTTATTAACTCCAGAAATTGCTTTCTTTGTGATACATATATGTGAGCGTTCGTTTTCATATCTACATCAATCTTCTCACATATAACTAGTATAGGGTGTGTAGTTAGAAAATCTGAGTGAAAATTGAGTGCATATCTTGTAAGGAATTGAGTGTGATTTCTCTAAGGCATGTTACTACATCAAAAACATTATTTTAATCGATTAATTGTGAACAAGTAAGTGGTGACTATGATTAAGTACGTGCTTAAGTGTGAAGATGACTCAAATCTGTGGGGATAA